CGAATTGGATACTCATTTTACCGACCTTGGAAGGATAGAAGGCTGAGTCAACCTTGAGCCGGCTACCTGGGATTGAAGCCCAGGTTGTGAGTATAGTTTTGGCTGCAGTACAGCAGTTTAACCACTACACCACATGGTTCTTTATGATGGTTTCCAACCAGACTTTGAAGATGTTATAATCAGCCCTATGAGAGAGAGGCCAGCAGGGCCATTTGGCATAGGCCTCACCTCAGCCAACCCTCTTCTCAATGTGAAATAGCCTAGACCCCACCTGAGCTCTTTGAGGGCTTGGTTATAGCTTCCTCCAGAATAGACATGCTGTAAAGCTTCCTGAATGTGGGGGCAAACCTCTAAAGAGCTTGGAAATGCTCCTCATCAACTTCTTTAGTAAAGGTGGTTGTTGGGACAAGAGCTGTGGGAGGGAGAGGTTTATGAGGATGCTATGCTTCTTCTTGATATATGCTGGCTGAAGGTGGAATTCTCTTGCCTGCCTGAGACTCTTAAGATGCTCCGCTGACTACATCGTGGGAAGTCCCTATTGCAAATTTTACCCCATCAACAAACATGGTGGCTATGTTATTCTCTCAGACTTGATTCCTTGTCTTTAATGGGTGGATAAAACCCCTCAAGGCTCTTGCAAGGACCACTAAAGGACCATTGAGGAAAAGCATCTGCAAAACAGAATTGTGCAAAATATAAATTAAACAAATAAAATACTACAAGTTGTTATCTCCTTTTTTTGGAAGTTAATTTCCTTCTGCATTCCCTGTTCTTGTAAATCCTGCAGCACACACCCTTTTCCTCTTCCCTGCCATGTCTCTTGCCTTGGAGACGAGAGTATTAGTGGCCATGTCTAATCTAGTCTTAGCTTCTAATGAGAATTGGGCAAACAGCCTGATGTTTACTCTGAAAATCAGTTGGGCCTTTCAAACATTCTTATCAGATGTTCAAAGATCTTTGAGATTTAAACAAACAAGTCACACTTGACAGGAATGCTCTGGGGACCCCATTCATACCAACCTGCTGATGTAGTTTTTCATAGAAAATGTCCTCCCCTTTAAAAAAAATACTCTCTTTTACTGAGGGGAGGGAACAGGGGATTTCCTGTAAGATTTACAAGAAAAGGAAATAAAAGTGTTTCAAGGAGAACGAAATTTCAGAGAAACTCTGACCAAAACCCTCTTGCCTAGTTACACCAGCAAAACACAAATAATATCACTTTTGGAGTAAAATTGCCTCAAGTTAAGACAACTCTGTTATTGTCTGTTGCCTACTGAGTCATACAATGGTGCAAGAGGATTTTGACCTCTGGTGGCAGAATTCTCCTTGCCCATGTTATGAGGTGATGGCAACAAGGTGTATGCTAGTATCCTTTTAAACTGTTTCCAAAGGTATTAACTGATGCAGTCTCAGAGCTTCTGTCTGTAATCTTAGAGAATTCCTGGACAACAGGTAATATCCTTGAAGACTGGAAGTGAACAAATATAGTCCTCATATTCTCAAAGGTAAAAAAGAAGATACATACAACAACCACCAATCCACTTGACATCAGTATTAGGAAAGGTCTAGAACAGATTGTGCAAGCACTTGGAAGAGTGACATTCCAAATATTTCCAATAGAAAAGGCTGATTTTTTAAAAGCTGATTTATATCTACCATGAATGGAGGCTTTCTAAGTGTCTGCTATCTTTGACACAATTCTTCATTTTCTGCTGTATCTCCACCTAATAGCTCCTTAATCCACCTTTGTACTCCTAGTGTATCCTGCTATAAATGTTCACCCCATTCTTGTTTTTCCCCCCTAATAGGACCATTGTACCTGGGAGCTGAACTACACATTAAAGATAACCCATCATTAGAATACGGAATTCTTTAACTGCTAAAAGCATCTGATTTCTTGCAGCAGGAACTTTTGTTCATGTCTCATAGTTTGCAACTTAGCTTTCTTTGTTTTTTACTTGGCCACTGGAAGGCTTAGCTTAGTTTGCAAGTATAGTTCTTCAGTCCCTAAGCTCAGTTAGAATTACGTCCCTGAACACTAATGTGATTTCAGCTTTAAGGATGAGGATATCTGCAATGTATTGTTTGTCCATAAGACAAAATGTGTTAGACTTAGATCAATGAGACCAGCTGAGCTGGACATGAAACACAGTTTTAAGAATTCAGTACTATGCATTTCTCAATTTCAGTTCTCCTTTGGTAAAATGCCTTGCTGGGCTTCATGTGTCATTGGATAAGGTAACATGTTGATAATGGACGTCTTTGATAATAATCCTAAGTAGGGGACTGTACATTGTGTTTTGGGGACATTTTATTCTGGATAAATCCTTAGAGTTTCAGAGGGCATACTATCCTTTGCAGCTGGCAGCTGTTCTTGGTCCAGTGCAGTTCAAAATTCCATAACCGCTTTAACACATTTTTAAACAAGTTTGTTCAAATGCAGAAAATACCTTAATCTTTGGGAACTAAGTGCCACAAGAAGTAATGAGGGATGTGATATCCTACTTAAAAATACATTTTAACTCATGAAATGAACTTGGTGGCTTTGTCTGTTTCTGTCTTTTACAAATGACTCAATAAGCCTTTGAGTCAGAATCTAGGCTTAGGGATGAAACACTTTTCTGTGCCAACAAAACAAATTCAGAAATTGGAAGAAACCACCTTATCTACAGGAGTCCTTTCCTCCACCTCCACCCCCGTATCCACAGATTTGGTTTTTACTGTTTCAATTATCTGTGGTTTACTGCAGCCCAAAGATGGATGAAGGAAGGAAGGAAGGAAGGAGTGATGGATAGAAGGAACTGGTGAGGCTGCTAGAGAAATGGCTATCTCAGGAGGGGACAGAGACCTTTCAGCAGCTCAAAGACACAGAAAACATCATTGCAGGGCAGCAATCAACAGGAAGTATTTTAGGAACACAGCCTAGTGGATAATAGAATTGCTGAAGTCCATCTGCACCAGCATATGGTATTAATTCACATTTTGTCCAAAATTCTTGGGCACCATTAAGAGGAAATCTGTGGACTGCTGGTCAGAGTGTTTATTCATTTTATCTTAAACTATTTTAGGTCACCTTTGAGAGTGGGACCGGGGGGGGGACTCAAATTACAAATTTGTATAAGCCTCAGGTGGCCCAATTTAAAGATTTAAAAGTCCTTTTATAGAAACAGGAAGTGACTAGGCAAAGGCTGAGAGTCTGCCCTGGTGACCCTG